TGTTAATCAGCAAGATTTTGTCATTCCACAATGTATATATACTTTAAAACATCATTTTGTACACGATAAATATGTACACATTTATGTCAATTTAAAAATAAGTAAGTCCAGGATTGGTGGCTCCTGCCTCTAATTCTAGCCCTTTGGGAGGTTCAGGCAGGAGGATCACTTGAGCCCAGGAGTTTGAGGTTGCAGTGAGCTATGGTCATGTCATTGCACCCCAACCTGGGTGATAGAGTGAGACCTTGACTCTAAATAAATCGACAAGTAATACATAAATAAATATTTTATTGTGAGGAATGGTGGTAAAGTCATTAACTAATCCAAAAAATATGAGGTGATGATTTTAGCTTCCATATTATAAGAGTACTTTATTACTAATGGTATTATTGTAGAATTATAGTTTTAATAAACATGCAAAGCAAAAAATACAAAAATCACTTTGAACTTGCAAATAATTATGTAAAAAGCAATTATTATTATTCATGTAAGAAAATAGCAGTGACTGTATATTTATAAATATATTCATAAGCAATAATAAGCATCAACTTTAACATTACAGTCATTTCATGATGTACAATCGATCACAATAAAATAAGTAAACAAAAATTGTTTTGTGATAAGAAGGCTCTAAAAAGAAATTTCGACTCGTTCCTTGTTTTGAATTTCCACGATCCGTCCCCAGTGTCTCATTTTATCTTCCCCAGTGAAATCACCTTGAGAATGGCCCTGCGGATCTGCTGGGTCTTGATGCTGTAGATAACTGGGTTGATCAGGGGAGGAAAGAGCACAGAGACAGTGCCCATGAGGATGTGCACCAGCGGTGAGGTGTGGCGCCCAAATCTGTGCACAATGGACAGGCCTAGCACAGGCACATAGAAGCAGAGCACAGCCAGGATGTGGGAGACACAGGTGTTGAGGGCCTTGAGCCGCTCCCCTGCAGAGGCGATGGCGAGCACGGTGCGGAGGATGCTAGCGTAGGAGAGCAGGATGAAAAGGACATCGGAGCCCATGGCCAGCATAATGATGCACAGCCCGTAGAGTCTGTTGAAGCGTGTGTCAGAGCAGGCCAGGCGGATCATGTCCTGGTGAAGACAGTAAGCATGGGAGAGCGCCCCAGGGTGGCAGTAGTCAAATTTCAGTAAGTGCAGTGAGGGTGCAGCAGTGATGGCGGCACTCCGCATGCCCAGCACAACCCCAGCCAAGGCCACACGAGGACCTGTGAGCACAGATGCATAGCGCAGTGGGAATCGGATGGCCACCAGGCGGTCCAGAGCCATCGCAAAGAGCACGGCTGACTCCATGAAGGAGAAGGAGTGGAGGAAGTGCTGCTGCAGAACACAGGGCACCAGGCCCACTGTCCGGGCATCAAACCACAGCACACCCAGCACTGAGGGCAGCGTGGACATGCACAAGCCCAAGTCCGTCACAGCCAGGATGGCCAGGAAGTAGTACATGGGCTGGTGGAGGGAAGGGTCAGTTCGCACCAGATGCAAGATAGTGGCATTACCCACAAGGGCCACAAGGTATCCTACAAAAATGGGCAGCGAAATCCACTGGTGAGCCCACTCCAGCCCTGGGAAGCCCGTCAGCAGGAATGTAGAGAAACTCAAGTTGGCACTTGGTAGTGTGGGCATCTTCAATCTCAAGGCCTATTCAGCCTGGGAATGTGGCAGTGTGTGTGAAGGTTAATAGGCCAGTAAGCACGAGCCCTCTCACTGTCTCTGCACACAGTCCCCTGCTAGCTGGTCTGGCCTCTCTGCACTGCCAGCACCCAATGGCCTCTTATTTAGCCACCGCCCTCACAAGCAGCCTAAACTCCTTTCCTGCTTTCTCCACTGTTTTTCTTATTCCCATCTAATCCTTTACTTAACTCAATGCCAGCAAGCCTCAATAAAGGTTTTTCCTATTCCTGCTCTTGGCCAGCTAATAGAAGCCTTTTTTTGAATTCTTCTTACAAAAAT